GTTCTATGTACGTATTTCGTTATGTGTGTGGTTCTCTATGTTCAAGTTGTTCTATGTACGTATTTCGTTATGTGTGTGGTTCTCTATGTTCAAGTTGTTCTATGTACGTATTTCGTTATGTGTGTGGTTCTCTATGTTCAAGTATTTCTATGTACGTATTTCGTTATGTGTGTGGTTCTCTATGTACGAGACAGACTGTAATAGAAATTACCACAACAAGAACAACATTATGTACAAAGAAAATTGTTGAAGCTGTCGATACAAACTTGATGAAATCAAACAAATGTCGTACAGAAGCCTCAACAAAGTCAGGTCTCATTTTGAGAATTTTATACAATTTTTATACAACTGTCTATTACTTCTTTAGGGACTGTCATAAAAGTGTGAAAGATTTGAGGTGTTCCCTGAGAGTAACATCTATCTATCATAGAAAAGAAGGGGGAGAGATATGGATGAAAGATATGTGATAGGAAAGAAGGAGCAAATCCCACTAGAGCACCCGCCCACCACCCACACGGTAGACCAGGCACACAGGTCATGTGAGCAGACCAGCCTCCGTACAAAACCCAGCAACTTGGATCTAACAAGCAGAGAGACCTACATATCTCACATTTCTCTTTGCACAGATCTATGAGATTTCACATTTCTCTATTTCACATTTCTCTATGCATAGATCTATGAGATTTCACATTTCTCTATTTCACATTTCTCTATGCATAGATCTATGAGATTTCACAAGTTTCTCTTTGCACAGATCTGTGAGATTTCACATTTCTCTTTGCACAGATCTGTGAGATTTCCCACTTTTCTCTTTCCTTCCTTCCGTCTGTCGCAGTTTGTCTTACAGTTGGGACATAGTCGGGGAAATAAAAGTCTAAAACTTCAAACACAAAAACATTCAAATTGACGCATGCAAAAAACCTTAAATAAGAATCAAAATAAACTGAAACAGTCAGAGAATCACAAGCTCCAGTGTGTAGTAAAAAGTGTGTAAAGAAAAATGTGTAGCGAAAAGTGCTCACAAAAAAACGAACAATGGCGTGCCATCATGTCTAGACACCCTAAGAACAACCCCCCACACTCCCCATCAATGATCACAGGTCCCCATTCATTCCTTCATCCCTAGAATGCTCTCAACAAAGCTATCACTACCCTGATCCTTCCCATCAGCCTCTGCCCCGGCGTCCTTAGAATGCTCTCAACAAAGCTATCACTACCCCCTTCCCCCATCACCCTCTGCCCCGGCTGTCTGTCGAAGCTGCTCTGGGTCTACCTCTGCCTTGTTTACCTTTCGTTTCACCAGTGACAGCTAGATGTTCAAAGTCCTCAAAAATAAGCTCTACAGACTAGAAGCTTCAATCTGAACAAAACTCCAAAGTCCAAAACCCAAAACCCACTTGTATAACATTCACGTGTGTGGTGCCATGTATCTCACTTGAAGCTTCCATCTGTACGGTTTGTATAAATTATACGGTTTGTACAGTTTATACAATTTGTACAAATTATACAGTCAGTTCACCGGTACAGTTTGTATATCCCCC